AACTTTGAGGATTTGGAAGGCCAAATGCTTTGGGTTCCATTCTGATGTGTCTAGATGGCAGATGGCTACTGCTTTAACCTTCACCCCATCATCGCCTTTCAGGGAGAGAACATAAGCTGCTGTAGGTTTTATTGCATGGCAGTAAAACACAGCATAGGGATAGTTCTGCTTATGACACACAACGACATTGTCACCTGCCAGCTTCTTCAGTCCCGGCATTGTTGTATACTTGTGGATGGACATGGTGGCTCCTTTTTCCAATACTTCCGTCGATATTGCTTGAACGTTTCTTGTTCTAAGCTTCGAAGTGCTAAAATCAACCATTGATTCTAAAGATGTGGCGCAATATATTTCCTCTCCCTTAATGCCCGGAGCTTCACACTCTTCGATTGTTTGCTTAATTGTTTTGGCTTCCACAGATGGCGGCTTCACTGAAAAATGGTTTAAAATTTCTGGTAGTTTGTTAGAGGAGAAAGGGATCGATTGAGTGCTTTCTCGTGGCAGGAAAGTAGCCGTGTTTGAATTTCTAGGGAATTGGAACTTCATTGTTGTGCCAGGGCGCATGTCCTTCTCCAAGAAGAAAATAGCTAAGTCTTTATTGCCCAATGAAGCACCTGTTTGCGTGTAATGTTTTTGAGTGTAATGTTTATTGCCCAATGGGTAAGTTTCAGGTTTGCCTTTTCCATACCCTTTTTGAGTGTAATGTTTATTGCCCAACGGGAAAGTTTCAGGTTTGCCTTTTCCATACCCTTTTTGAGTGTAATGTTTATTGCCCAATGGGTAAGTTTCAGGTTTGCCTTTTCCATACCCTTTTTGAGTGTAATGTTTATTGCCCAACGGGAAAGTTTCAGGTTTGCCTTTTCCATACCCTTTTTGAGTGTAATGTTTATTGCCCAATGGGTAAGTTTCAGGTTTGCCTTTTCCATACCCTTTTTGAGTGTAATGTTTATTGCCCAACGGGAAAGTTTCAGGTTTGCCTTTTCCATACCCTTTTTGAGTGTAATGTTTATTGCCCAATGGGTAAGTTTCAGGTTTGCCTTTTCCATACCCTTTTTGAGTGTAATGTTTATTGCCCAACGGGAAAGTTTCAGGTTTGCCTTTTCCATACCCTTTTTGAGTGTAATGTTTATTGCCCAATGGGTCTTGGCATCTGTGTGTTTGGCAGGACCGAGTTCCAGTAAAGTTGAGGTGCTGGTTGAGCAGCATGGTTTGCCAGTGCAACCGCTGCTAGCTGCAACATTAATTCAAACTCTAATTAAAATCAAATCTCACAAAGTGTAATTAATTAGTGGACGACACTTAAGTACGTACTAAATAAAATCGGAGAGAATTATAGGAACACAAAATTTTCGTTTATATAGAGTACAATGAGAGAGAATGGAAAAGTTAATCAAATTGCAGAGCTTACACTGAGAATAGCAAAGATGAGTGGGAGATGAAACTCCATTAGGACTGAAATTAACTTGGCAATAGATGTAGCTAGTGGATATGAAGCAAGAAATTAAAGAAAGTCGGAGCTGGCTCCTATGGTAACAATAGCAACTGGCTTCACCATTTTATAGACGAATGATGAGGGGTACCCGGAAGTAACACTCCACCCACCGATATAGGGCTTAATTACATCTCACTGCCTCACTCACTTAAATTCATTTGAGGCAAGTGGCTTGATGTGATGTATCAGACATAATTCTGAATCAAATTCAATTGTTGCACGCGGGAAAAAGGTACTAAAGGTTCTTGAGGTAAAACCTCACAGCTGGATGGTCCATAAAATACATGATTAATCATAATGCATCGGTTTTTGTCGCAAATTAGAACCGAATCCGATACTATTTATCTGGTTTGGTTCGGTTTGGTTTAAACAAATTTCAAAAACTTTCCTGTTTGGGTTGAACTAGTTTCAGTCCAGTTTGGTTTTGAACCGGATTATTAAAATAAAATTTTTAATACAAATTTCAACTGAAATTTTATTTTTTTGACTTGAAAATTAATAAATTATTTAATTTCATATAAAAATAAATATTAAAGCTAGAAAAGAGAGATGTTTTGAAATTGAACTTGGATAAATATTAGTTATGAGATTAAAAATATAGCATTGAATATAAATAAATATTGAAATTATATATTTTTGGGAAATAGCCTTCTATGCCACTCTTTTGCTAATTTTAACTAAAAATACCATCCCAGAATATAAATAAATATTGAAATTATATATTTTTTAATTTGACTATTCGGTTCGGTTTTTGAAGATAGAACCGGATCCAAAACCGGTCCGATTTGGTTTTTGAGTTTTTGGTCAACTCGATTTTTTTCTAGTTTTTTTCGGTGCTGTTCGGCTCGGATTTCGAATTTGCCGATTTGAATGCCCACCCCTATGTCCATGTATAATTAGAGGGTACAATTATTGGCATCAGCAATCCTACAATGCATCCTCTAGATCTTTTCCCTTTCCAATTTATGCTTTATTAATTTTACTTGATTTTCCTTGGTTCAGAAAATTCCCATAAAACAAAAGATCTCATTTCCTTGGAGCAATAATCTTTATTTTATAATATATATGATAATAGATTGATTTTAATTTTAATTTTTCAATACATACATATATATATATATATATATAGGGAGCTGATTTCCTCATTCCCCTTTTCTCCATTTACACTCCCTTTTGCTTTTTAAAACTTTTTTTTTTATTATTATCAATTTTGTTCATTCTTTTTTCTATTCTACCTTTACCCTACATTAATTTGTTTTTTACTTTACTTTTATATTATTTCTTTTTCTTTATACTCAATTTTCTAACTTACACTCCATTTTTAGTATTAAATGGGGAAAAAAAAAACTTAATTTCTTACTCGATTAAAGGAAAAAAATACTGAAAATGGAGTTCAAGTTGGAAAATTATGTATAAAGAAAAAGAACTGATATAAAAGTGAAGTAAAAAGAAATTAATGTAGGGAA